TTTCTTCCTGAAACAACACAGGCATCTTTAAAATGTCTTCACTGTCGCAAGAAATACATCACATCTAAGACGCAGCTGAAATGGTCCACATGAGTATTCTGTTTATGGATTGTTCATGTCCCCCAGAAGATTTTCAGTAAAGGAACAGTATATCACTTGTCCTTGGGTCGAAGATATACTGCCGGAGCATCTATAGAGCATCTGCCCCACCACTGGGTCTCAGCTTTTAGTAGCTGTGCCCTGGCTTCAGGTGCTGAAACATCACTTAATCTACAAATCCACAGGGTGTAAGGTCACGGCGCCCTATAGGACGAACTGAAAAGCTGAATCCTGCTCAGAGTGCACACACAGAACAGAAGTACACACACACCATGCTTCCTACTCTCTTTTCCCTGCTGCACACTCCACTTTGAGTTGCTATAAGGTCTGAAAGGATGCCTGTCACAAAGCAACACCTTGGCTTTCCGGAGATGATGTGAATCTGCAGGAGGCAACTTTTTGTGCTTTGAGGCTTGTTACTGTTCTGGCTTTACTACATTTATTCGTGCAAGAATGGGTCCTTCAAGTAGGAAATTAGTCAGCATCTTTTGCCTCAGGTTACTTTGTCCCGAGGTCAATGGGTTTTTAAACAGATTTTTGGTTAGGCAAGGCAAGTTTATGTATATAGCACTTTTCAACACAAGGCAATTGAAAGGGCTTCACAAAAGACATTAAGAGCATTAAACACATTAGAAACATTAAAAAGCAAAGATATTAAAACATGAATAACACAGGTACATGAATGAAAGTCACAGTGCAGTGTAAGATGTGAATAGCTCAATTAACAGTAGCGGCAACAAGAAAAGTCTTCATCCTGGATTTAAAAGTAGTCAGAGTTGCAGCGGACCTGCAGGTTTCTGGGAGTTTCCCGAACCAAATCAGATCCCAGAAATAAGGTTGTTAAGCATAAGAGGTTTGTACCTATGGTTTTACAACTTAAAGTATGTCATTAAATACCAACCTGTACATTTAAAGCATTCATGCATCAATAAAAGTGCCTATTAGATTATTAAATGTCATTATGCCAAACATTTGTCCATCTTTAGCTAAGCTGCGATCGAAAATCCTACCACTGTGATGAAGTTGGTTCTTACGGTAACGAGGGCTTTTTATTTCTGCCGATTGCATTTCAAAAATCATAAAAGTGGCGCTTGCTGAACAAAACAATCAAAAGGTTTTGTTTGCTGCAAATCTTATTTTCGGAAAGAAATCCCAAATCCAATGGAAAGGAATCCAATTAGCTTTTTGTGGAGGGAACCAGGGCAGCGAGGTTAAATACAAAGCTCATCCCTGCAGCACTTTGTGACAGACAGCTGATAAGCTCTGGTCCTTTTTGTAAAACCAAACTGACTTTAGACATTAGCCCAATATCACACGTTCACTTTAAAGCTGCCCCTAAGCTGAGTTATTGTTCCAGGAAGAATATATTTGGGCAGAATAATGACAAAGAGTTACTTTGCAAATTCAAACACAGCTTCAGCCTGAGATTTCCAGATCTCTCCCAGGCTTTCCTTTCCTAATCAATTCAACTGCATTTTATTCTTGATTGAATAGCAGTGCATGATGACTCCTACTATACACGTAAAGTATGCTCTGCATGATGCTTGAAGGAGGCATTATTATTACTATTACATGTCATTTGTTAGACGCTTTTATCCAAAGCGACTTACATACTCAGTACTGTGGACAATCAACACAGGAGCAATTTGGGGTGAAGTGTCTCTAGGAACGTTTGTAAGTATTCTGCATCTTGGCATTTTCGCGAGGTTAGCTAATAGTGTAATAATATGCACTTAGCCACTTTTTTTTATGCTCTTATTGTCGTGCAAAGAGCCAGACAAATAAGACTGTGTGGTTTTATCTAAAGCTGCATTTACACCTGGTGTTATCACGTGATTTGTATTTGGATATTGAAATCCAATCCACAGGCTTGTCAGTAAGCATGGCACGTACCAGTGACAAGGGAAACAATTCAGTGCACAAGTGCAGAGGAAAGCTTGCCATCTTATGCTAATACTGCGAGGCTTGCTTGAGTTAGCAAGACGAAGAGTTGTGTAACTTCTTCTTTAACGAGTTACACTTGACCTGATGCTAACCCTCAGCCCAAGATGCAGACTGGCTGATCTGATCGCTTTGTGTTCATTCAAATGTGTTTTTCCTTCACAAATATCCGGATACAGATCGCACAAATAAACACGAAAACAGCTGCACTTAGAAGCCAATTTTCATAATGGCCTAAACATGGAATTACATTTTCCGGATTAGGTACAACTAAACTATTTGGTTTCAAGTCCTAAAAAGTGAGTTACACACACATCCTGTCAGATGGAGCCTTGTTAGCTTCACTAAACCCTCACACAGATGCTAGACAGTCTCATCACTGCAAGCATTTCGTTGTGCCTGAATAATTCATTAGTAGATAGTTGAACAGATGATTTACAGAAATATATTGAAAAGATCAACGTTGATGCATTTTGCAGAGGAGCTGTGGTGTGACGCAAGCAGGAGTCATCTGGGTGTGATATGTTTGACATATACATCACATCCCTAGGACTAAGTAAGTCAGTGAGTGAGTGAGTGTGTTACAGCTCCTACTTCCTTTGACATACATTCAACACAAAGCAGCTGCAGACTTGAAGAGCTACACTGAGGTACCTCAACATTTAATATGGATATTGTGAGATTCCAGTCACTGCTGTACTGTACTGAGCGCATTAGTCATCAGGAGCACGAGTCTCTGAGAGGACGCGCGCAGAATGTAAAGGAGGCATCCAGTTGTTATGTCTCCGCTCCTCGAGTCGCTGAGGAAAGACTGATTCATTTCACCCCATGTTTCTCTCCTCTCCCATTCATCAGGGATGTATTAGCATGGTTAGCAGAGCAGCTGTGAGACACTATTCATACACATATCGGAGTATCAAGAGGAGTGAATTCAGGGCTTTTATCTTCTTTAATTATGTAAATCATATGCCACAGATATTTCCTATCGAGGCGAGAGGCAGGGCTTTTTTCTTTCCTCTCAGCACATTTTCAATGAGCTTCCCGAGAGAAGCAGGCGGGAGGAACAATACTTCAACTGCACGTTACACAGCATGTGGTCCGGGTGCTTCATCTCTGACTATCAAGGCCTGGAAATGACAAATCGTCTTTCCTGTGTGTCTTCTGGAGTAGTTCTTTGTGTGGTGTTTCCTTGCATTTATATACTATACTTCATTTTTGGTCGATTCCATTAGAGAAGATCATTTTGCAAACTATCTTTTAGTACCACGAGAAAGAACCCCAGACAAGCATGTAGATGGAAAAGCATGAGTAGTTTCACATCTTCGGGAAATATGCTAATTTGCTTTCTTGCCATGATGAAAAGATTAATACAATTGTCTGTATGGTGAATATGAGGCTGCAGCTGGTTAGCTTAGCCGCTTAGCAATATGAAAGTTTTAACGCAACTACATAAATAGGAAATAGTGTATTTAGTGAGCTTAAATGTTGGTTAATACATGATGTAAGGCTACTTCTAGAGGCAGTTCAATTGCATAATCAATAGGAAGATACAATTAGCACAATTAGCCCAGTGCTTGGTGAACTGAGACAAAATGTCCAAACTGTTTCTTAAAAGTTAGCATACTTAGCATGAGCTAAAACGCCATCCATCCAATGATATTCTCTGGTTTGGCTACACAACAAGCCTTGCTGCTGAAGAGCTTATGCATGTACTGTCAATATATAAACTTAACATCAAAGTTGATAGCGCTGTGTGTGTGTGTGTGTGTGTGTGTGTGTGTGTGTGTGTGTGTGTGTGTTGTGTGTGTGTGTGTGTGTGTGTGGGTGTGTGTGTGTGTGTGTGTGTGTGTGTGTGTGTGTGTGTGGTGTGTGTGTGTGTGTGTGTGGGTGTGGGTGTGGGTGTGTGGTGTGTGTGGGTGTGTGTGTGTGTGTGTGTGTGTGTGTGTGTGTGTGTGTGTGTGTGTGTGTGCAGCTGCAGGAGATTCATGCCTCAGCAGACAGCAATCTCAGACTTTAACTGAGAACATAATCATGCCTTACACTCCTCTTGAAATGTTCTCACCAACCACTTTGTGAATTGCATGACAAATATTGTATCTGACAGTGAAACACCCTGTAGCTTTTACGCTGAATGCATCGAGCAGTTTTACTTGGGTGTAGTTTCACAGAAGCAATTTAACTTCTGCTTGCAATTGTCAGAACAGTAGCTGCACGTCTGCCTAACTACGCACGGTCCTTCACTTTATTCCTCACTAGATTTCATTCCTATTGACTGCACTTCTTCTCTGTAATTTCCCATAAGGTTGATAGCGCACACACACACACAAAGCCTTGAAAGATACATCTATATCCCTCTTTACCTCTTTCGCATTGCCTGCAGCTAGTAGCATGTCTTTTGGGATGAACGTTTGATGTACTGCACAAGTGTTCATCCTATAAACTCACGGTAAAACCCCCCTGCAGGTGCAGTGGATGTGAAGACAAATCGGCATAGCGTTCCTGCTTCCTGGCACTCAAAACTCAAACACACAAAGAAAGTTGACAGTGTTATTAAACCCAGTCGAGTGTAGGTGAAGGAATATTAAATTGTGGTTATGCCCTGATTCCTTGTCATCAATCCTCTCGCTTGCTTCAGTAATGGGATCTCAACCATAGATGAGGCAAATTAAGAAAGCCAAGGTTTTACACACAACCCTAATTGCCAAGATTGTGTTCGACAATACCGATTAGTTTCCTTCGCCCTCTCAACTACTTCCTGCCCTGGAAAGTGCTGAACTGAATTAAAATCAGACACCACTCCAGATACAGAGAGAGGAAATCGCAGTTACAAGAGTGTCCCAGCCAATGACAATATATAGCCGATTGGAAATAGTGAGTGTGTGCAGACAGACAATCAATAAACCTGCAAGAAACTCCCACAAGGGTGACTTCCCCGGATGATGTTTGTTATTCATCCGCTGCTAGAGCCATAAAGCATCACGACAAGAGCAGTGAGGATAAAAAGTTAAAGTACCTGCAGTGAAGTTGTAACTTGCTGAAAATCCCACGGCTTCCAGTTCACCATCCGTTACAAATTTTATCCACAGATATCGGCCGCTACTCCTGATATCAGGCGGGCTGTGCTGGCCGCAGTACCGTCCCAGAATCGGAGAGAAGCCAAAGGGTCCATCCCGAACCTCGATGTTGTCAAATTTACATTCCCAAGAGGACTCGATTGAATAATTCTCCTCAAAGTGTAGATCAATACACTGCCTTGGTGGTGCTGGAAGACACAATGAAAATAATTACCACCCGGCACAGCAGGGGGGGGGCGATACTAGTCATGCTTTCACTGATGAACGCTCAACTTGTTTCATTATCAGCACGCCCTCACGCTCAATACCTCCAACCCCGGCTGTTTGTCAATTCATCTCCCAAACACCAAGCTGTGAAAGTGATTAGCCTCTACATTTTGTGATTATCTGATCCATCTAATAATATCTCATAACGTTAAAAACACCAGCTGGTTTAATGAGCTGTTTGATCGCTCTCTAAGAAGTTACTGTGGGATTGTTTTTAGGGAACCAATGTATTTACCTTCGAGGATGTAAACACACTCTGTAGTCGGAGGGTATTTGTTTGGGTAATTGGGAGAAGTGAAGATCCCTCCTTCTGCTTCCTTCACCCACGTTCCACATTGACCTGCAGGCTTCACACCCGAGTTGTTCTTCGCTATTCAGCAAAGAGAAAAGCAGAAAGTGAGAGATTAAAGCCGTGGAAAGAGCATGCGTAAGCAGTAAAGAAAGACGTTTTGGGATGCAGATTACCTGCTGTATCCTTCCTTGTTGCCCCAGACAACCCGAGTATGAGAAGACTTGCAACAACTGTAAGAAGAGAAAGACAAATACATTATGAGGGACAACTGAGGCGTGCTATTTTTCTGTGTTATTTCCCACAGTGTGTTAACATTTGTTGTGCTTGAGTTCAGCTAAACGTAGGGTTGAGTCAGTAGGGAACACATTTCATGATCAGCGGTGTGCTCGACCTTCTGCCCCAAAAAGCACACAATACCTAACAATAGCCATAACAGCATCTGTTGTGTACAAAATGGCTGAAAGAATCCAAATAGCACATAAAATAACTAGGCCTTTAGTGTAAAAACAAATAAACAGAAGGACTGCTTTGAAATGAATCAGGATATAACCCTTTTAATTCGTTTGTATATAAAAAATAACTAAAGAAGTACCTAAAAATGACACAAACAAATATTGGAATAATACAAATATAATTCAAAATAAATAATAAAACATAAACAATGAGAGAAGTAACAACAGAAATGTAATTACAAATACTTTTAATATATCTAAAATAACCCAAAGTACTACAAAATGAATAAATACCAAAAATCGATTCTGTGAGACGAATGTTGACTATAAACACATGCAATCCCCACAGCTTATTGAACATCATTCCCTCCCAAAATAATGTCCCCTGAAGCCCTCCAAGAACTTGGTGACCTTCAGTTTACAGGTTGCAGTGAGTCAGTGCATGCCGTCATGATATTACTTTCATCAGCATGCTCTTATTCTGACTTTAAGCTGTTGCTCTGTATTTAATGAAAAGATTACTTCTCTCTCGTTAGGGTACAAGCAATCAGATCTTAATGAGCACTGCTTGTTGATCTGCTGCAGTCTTACCGTGATGGAAGCTGTGCCCATGTACCATGTCTGTTCCTTTCACAAGCGGCTTCAGACTCAACTAATTCCATTTAGATTTAGGAATACTTGAAGAGAGAAATAAGAGATTGAGTTGAGAGTTTCTGAAAATTCACTCCGGGAAACCGCTCGTACCATGCAACCTTCCGGGGGGGAAATGTACTCCTTATTAAAATCTTTAAGGGGAAATAAGAAAGGTCCTCGCAGATGAACTAATCACCAGTTTCATATAAAACCAAAAACAGTTCTAAACACTCGCCCGATTTCCATCCAAGCGTTTCTAATTCCCGTTGGTGCTTTTGATGCACTGAAATGATTAATAGTCCCGTCATCAGCCCTTCTCTAATTGCTCCACCTTTGCAATCTTCTTTGGGAAAATATCAGCCTGGTTTGGTCCCTGTGTCAGGAGAGGGGGTCCTTCACCGCGCATCGCTCATCTCTGCAGCCGTCCCTCCACTCTAGCGCTGCGTAAAATCCACTGGAAAACACCGGGTACCCAAACCGAAAAAGAACGAAATTAAGTGTGTTTTCCTCTGGGTTTTATTTGTAGCTCCAGGTCTGAGTGCGTCCCTCTCTCTTCCCGGCTTCTTCCAACTGGAGGAGAGTCCTCGCGGAAAGCAAAGAGTCAATGTGTGATCTCCCTCCTCCCTCGTTCACTGCCGGCCAATGCGCCACCAGCCGCACGCACTTCTGAGGCACGCACTGGAAACTTCTCCTGCACTTCCTCAACACACACACACACACACACACACACACACACACACACACACACACACACACACACACACACACACACACACACACACACACACACACACACACACACACACACACACACACACACACACACACACACACACACACACACACACACACACACGCACACACACACACATACCATGTATATATAACTTCAGGGGACATTACATTGACTTACATGCATTTCCTGGAGACTTATCCTAACCTTAACCATAACCAACACATGCCTTACCCTTAACCTAACCCTAACCAAGTCTTCACCCTAAAATTAATGATTCCCCTCCATTTTGTCCCCATAAGGGAAGCCAGTCCCCACACGTGACTATGTAAACAGATGTAGGTCCCCACAAGTATAGTAATGCTAGACCACACATACACACACACACACACACACACACACACACACACACACACACACACGCACGCACACGCACACACACACACACCGGAGTAGAGAAGGACACGCTCGTGTGTGCGCAGCAGCAGAATGCATTGCAACTCGTGGAGAAATGCCGCGCAATGGAAATGGAAAGGTAAGCAGAAAAAGGCAATGAGATATGAAATGGAATAAACAAACACACGCTAATCACATGTCAGAGTTCTATCAGCGAGATCAAACATGAGAAAGGCTGCAGAATGAAATGAAGTGGGGGAGAAATAGGAAGCACCAAAGCATGCTTTTCATCCTGATCCTGCTCATTACCAGCTTTGATCCGGTTAAAATCAACTAAAACTCAAACCTGAACGAAACACTTAATCTTTCACTTTATTAACAACATTCAACATCAACACATCTAGAGATGCATGGTGTTCACACAACAAGAAGAGGATGGCAAAATATATTAAAAGGGACCTAAAGCCGGCAGACCAAAGTAGTCGAGTAAAATGTACAATTGACCCTCAATTCTCAAGCAAAGTAGCCTTTCCTTAAAGTGGACCTATCATGCTATATTGGAAAACATATATTGTAGGGCCATACATACAAAACATGTCTGTGAAGTTTTTTGCTTAATATACCAAACAGATCACCCGTTGCAGCCACGCCTCATACTGCTCATACCCCTCTTTTGCAGCCCTGTTAGAGAAACGCAGATCTTGGGTCCTTATCTTGAAAAAAAAAAAGAGGAGGCGGGGCTAATGCCTGATCAGAATTCTACCAGAGATAAAGTTAAATTCTGTTGTGATAAAACGCCATCCTGTTTAAACCCCATTAAGGATTATTTCTGAAACAGTATGGAGCTCAAATGCTTTTTCTCTTGCAGGTTTATCACAAGGTGAGTTCCTTTTTTTATTTCCTGCTTTTTAAACACATGTGCTCTCCAGTACAGGTTAGCTCTGAGTGTTAGCGAGGCTTGCTAATATAAACAAAGACGAGATTACGTCCAAAACACGTCAGGCATTGTTTCTGATAGCAACTTTATGTGGGTCCGCTGACGATTTGACGTCAGATCGGCAGCAAATCTGTATCCGCTCGTTGTTCCTCTGTTTTTAAAAGATTTGGGTACGGAGGAAAAGAGAGAGGGTTTTATTTTCTGACGCTGCGTGAGTTCCCCGACGCACCGGGGACACATGGTTATGTATAAAAGACATAAAAAGTGCATTTTGCATGATAGGTCCCCTTTAAGTTGTACTTAAGCAGAGTACGTGGGTAAATGTACTTACGGCCCGTCCACACGGCGGCGTGCGTTGAAGCTTCAACGCTTCTTCCCATTCACTTTGAATGGGGTGACGTCACGCTTTGCCGAACTGCATTGTGGTTCCGTCGCTTTGCTCGCGTTACTCGCTTCAAAAGTTGAGAAAAGTTCAACTTTTGAAGCTTCGATGGAAGCGTCAGCCAATCAAATCATATGCCAGTACAAGCTCTAGCCAATCAAACCGCGTGCTTGTGTGTCCGGGGGCGGGAGATTCATGTGATTGGTTGTTGGTCGCACGCCAGACACGCCCACCGGCAAGCTTCAACGCGACGCTGCCGTGTGGACGCTGCGTAATTGTACGCAGAAAGGCAGAAAGTTACTTTTTCTCAAACCAAAGTAACCTTGCCCTAAAGTCTTTGTTGTATTTGAGTGGTACCTATAAAAGACAGCCAATCACTTCAAGGTTATCATCCTTACCTCTCCATGTTTACAAAAAGACAGACAGGTAAAGTGAAGAAGCCATTTTCCTCCCTTTTATTCCTCAGAAAAGTGAGAAAGACCCATTTCCTTCCTTCCTTCCGTGTGTGTGTGTGTGTGTGTGTGTGTGTGTGTGTGTGTGTGCGTGCGTGTGTGTGTGTGCGTGCGTGTGCGTGTTGTGTAGCGGCTCTCACACCTGATGACAGAGCTGATTAGAGCCCAGGGACAAGTCAGACACTCCGGATCCCAAAAATAGTCTTGGCATCCAGCGGACAATGTCCATCTTCAGATGCTGCAGAGTGTCTTGGACCCGCTCCCCTTCAGTGTGCATGTTAATGTTCATAGTGGACAATTTGGATCGGCTTTAAATATACTTTTAATAAACCGGCCTCATCTTTTTGTGACGTTATGCCCACTGAGTACAAGGACCCTCTTAAGATGGAGAGATAAACACTCTAACGTCCTCCTCTTAATTACATCCGCTCCCAGAGATTGGCCCGTGCTCACTGCTGTAAAAGTGTTTTTACAGCAGGTAATGCATATATTTCAAGAGACAAGCTGACTTTGAGAATACGCGTGGGAGTGGGAAATCTCAGAACTCTTTTCAACTAATAGCTCCTTCTAATCTGTTATACAGAGTGATTTAATGGACCTGGGATTCAGTCCAACTCAAAACAGAACTGAAGCTATTCGCCAGTCTCTTTCTTGCAATCAGCTGCCAGGAAGCCCACAGTCTGAATGGCTCCTCGGATATTTCATGGCTGAAAAGAATTCAAAATGTCAATTTCTCTGCAAAGCCTATTATAGATCTTCCAGTCTGAGGGGATGTCATTAATATCTGCAGCAACATACAATGCAGAGAGTTTGTTATTGATCAACAGAGGTGCCTCACAACTTTATAAGCAGCACACCGCACGTTTCTGATGGGTAAACTCGGAGATAAGACAGCAGCGCGATATGGGAATTATTCAAATGAGGCTTATCGCGCCCACTGTATGCAACAGTAGCCCTGGAGAATTTACCAGCAGCCTCTGGTTTCGCTCATGTATTAACTGTCTGTTTGACTGAAAGGCGCCGAGGCATCGCCGAGAAATAATTCATTCGACAGCAGCCTCAAAGTCGGACGTTTTTAATTAAGGAGGTCTATCGTTTGGCCGGAGATAACTGTTGTGCTGTGTCGGCCGAACAGAACATTTGTAATTGTAATCAGTTTAGGGAAATGGGCGCCGGACGTTTAAAATGCAGCGCAAACGACTACACACGGGCTGGTATATCAATACGTTAAACATCCACAGCTCCGTTTGCTGCTTTATATTCACTGAAAGTGCACATATTGTGCTCAATTTAAGTTTCATACGTGTGCTTTTGGTAATAGAACATGGTTTCAAGCTTTAATCTTCTAAAAGTTGTTTATTAAAATTGTTTTTATCAACTGTGTTCATTTTTTTGTTAAAGGCTCCATTTTCTCTTTAAGAACCCCGCCGCAAAATGCTCTGCTCTGATTGGCTCGTAGGAAAAATATGGCACCCCTCTGCAGAGGTAGCTCTCAGGGTTGGATAAGATGGCGTTGTTTTTCAAAGCAACTATTCTCTATATCTTGCCAATGTCCCACTCGGGGACTTAAAGGTTGGGGTAGGTAAGTTTGAGAAACCGGCTCGAGATACACTTTTTGTTATATTCCATGGAATGCTCTTAACATCCCGATAGCAATGAATATCTGAAGTGCTTTGACAAAAAATACATTAAAAAAAAGCCATCTGTGGAAGCCGTGGCGCTGTAAAAAGCACGACCAATCATCTGAGCCGGCTAAAGTAACTGGATGGCCTACCTGCCTGTCAGCCTTCCTTCGGGGCACAAACTGACACGATGGGCTCATAAGAACTCAGATGCTCGATTTCGTTGCTTTGTAATATTCTTTATTTTAAAGAATACAAAGCTTTTCAATAATAACTTCTAGGATCTACTAGGACTCTCCATAGAATCACTAGGTTCGACTAGGTAATGCAAAAACAGGTCTCTGGTAAACAGGCATGGATATGACGAAAAGACAAGACGAACCAACACAAGACAAAGGGAGAGAAGGACTATACACACACACACACACACACACACACACACACACACACACACACACACACACACACACACACACACACACACACACACACACACACACACCACACACACACACACACACACACACACACACACACACACACACACACACACACACACACACACACACACACACACACACACACACACACACACACACACACACACACACACACACACACACACACACACACACACACACACACACACACACACACACACACACACACACACACACACACACACACACACACACACACACACACACACACACACAGGGGCGGGAACAACAATCAGTCTAAGAGGTGACACACATGGACAGGAAGTGCAGACACCTGGAAAGAGAGGGTAGAGTCATTAAAATAAGACAGATGGACAAACACTAAAAACACAACAACTAACAGGATACTAGCGCTAAAACCTTACACAAACTTATCTCGTGCCCTCATTGGTCATGTGCGCGTTCGTGTGTGTTGGAGGAGGGGCTCTGTAAGGAAGTGGCAGATTTGTTCCGGCTGTGTATTTTAAAATTCTCGCGATCTCGAGCTGGTTTCTCCAAAATTACCTACCCCACCTTTAAGATGTGCTGCCAAATTACTTTTTGGCAATTTTCATATCTGTATCTCCTGAATCTGAAATGCATAAGATATGTTTGAATGTATCACCATGCAA